CATATGCATGCCTGGTGCCTGTGGGGGCCAGAAGAGGGCATTGGATTCCCTGGAACTGTAGTTATAGATGGTTGTTAGCTGCCATGTGGATGCTAAGAACTGAACCTGAGTCCTCTGCAAGAGCAGCCAGTGCTCTTAACTGCTGAACCATCTTTCCTGCCTCAATATAACAGTTCCTTATAAAACATTTACATTATGCTAAGTATAATAATCTAGTCATGATTTAAAGTATTTGAGAGGATGTGCATAGGCTGTATAAATACTGCACTGTATTCTACAGGGATTTGAGTGTCTGGTCACAGACTTTTGTATTTGGTGCATCTCAGAATGAACACAATATGCCAAGGGAACACCATGGCATATTGATATGAATAGTACAGCACAGTAGCTGAAGCCATGTTTACAGTCCAGGTTTGCCACTCACTGACCAGGTGTTAAGAGGTAATACTGTCTGCTCTCTTAGAATGTATATGAGTAGGTGCTGGGTATGGCAGTGCACTTTTAATCCTAGCACTCGGAAGGCAGAGTCAAATAGGTGTCTATGAGATCAAGGCCAGCCTGGTCTCCATAGTGAGTCCAGACCAGATGGGGCTACAGGGAGACCCTGTCTCAAATGACAAAAAAATAAAAATAAAAATAAAAAAAAGTATGTGGGTAGATCTGGGTAGTAAATAAATAAGGAATTAATGTTTTTCATTGACTTTTAGTAAGTACGTCAGTGAATGTTGGTTTTATTTCTTGTTTTGGTAAATATTGTGATAACAGGGTTGATCAAGCTGAAGGTCAAAGTTTTCCTAATTTATTGCCTACTAAATCAGCAAAGGCCTTTATAGAACATATAACTTTGTAACTGAGTCTTTAAGGATGCCAAGTGCCAAGGAGGATTTCATAATGACAGAGGGGTTAATAGAATTTCATTTTGAAAGGCCAATGCTGAAAAGTATGGAACCATGTAAGAATTCATATAGCTCATAAAATGTGAAGTAGCATAGCTATAAAGCATTAAACATGTCACTCTTTTTCATTCATTCTTATTACATGGAAAAGAAGGAAATGGATAATAAATGAGATCTATTATAGGGAAATTGTCACTGTTAAGAAAATGTTGGGAAAACAAGCAAATTGAAAGGCTAGGCATTTGGAAATGGAGATTTTTCATTATGTAAATGATAATTGTTAGCCAGGCTTCATATTTACTTTATAATTTAAACTTGAATAGGATAAATTTTAGGGGTAATGGATTGATTTACTCTCTAATTTTGTGTTGTAAGAAATTAATTTGATTTACAGTCATAATCATGACTCTTTTACTTGGCTAAGTCCTAATGCATTCTTTCACTTGGCTGAGTCCTAAACCATTCTTTGAATTTAAGATTTCCATTCTGTAAATAGGGATAACAATGTCTATCTCAAAATTTGTTGTAAGGATAAATATGGAGTATTGAAAGAACTCATCTAATGGATTCCTCAGTGTGAGGGCTGAGATTATAGGCATGTGCTACCACTACAACTTGATAGATTTTGGTTAACATTTTAGGAAAAGTGAATTTTAAAGTCAGCGGTTGTCATGTGTTTTTGCTTCTTAAAGAGTAAAGATGTCTGGAGAATGTATAGAAGAGGTGAGTTTCTTGGCGACTTATAAGTAAGCCTGTGGGAAAGAACATTAACATATTAATAGCCTTAATTTTTATACCATATTTAAAATTACATACCACTCAGCTCTGCAGTATCTGTGAGCATGGTTATAAGTTGTAATAGCTTAGAATTAAAAATTTTAGCTCAATAAACAGACTTAATTTAGCATGTGAATCTTAAGTATGTTATTTTTCCAAACAAAATAACTGAAATTATGTCAAGACTATTTGGATTTACTAGTTAGTAACATATAAGTGTTATGAAAAGATTTTTGTAAGGTACTGTTGGATTGGAAGTGTCGTTTTCCTCTTGTCTTTTGTCTTCCTCTTTTAAAAGTTCTTACTGCTGGGTCAAAGCATACATCATCTGTTGACTGACTGCTACAAATTACTGCTTGATGTCTTCTGAATTTGTATTCACCCTCATTCTTCTGTTTCTCCTGTATACTATCTTTATGAATGCTACCTTTTTTGTAGTATACGTTCTTGATACTCAAGAACCTTTACTATGGCCTTTACATGTTGTTATCTAGGTTTTCACTCCCTTCTCCCACTGAGGTTTTAGAGCTTGCTATTACCCTCCCTGCACTTGTTACCCCTTCCTTGTGTCTTTTCATATACTTCCATACTTCCTTAATTCCTCTTACCACTTTTGAAGCCAAGCTCACATTTCATTATTTTCTTACTAATTATCTCCACTTGATTTAGCTCATTTTGCTTTTTTAAAAAATTTGTTTCTTTTCTTCCTTTTCCTCTCTCCCTTTTTTCTTTCCCTTCCCCTACTGACTGAACTCAAGGCCTTCTGCATGCTAAGAAGGTGTTTGACTACTACTAACTATACCCCAGCCCTTTTTATTCTGTTTTTGATTGTACATTATATTTTAGAAAGGATTTTTATTTTAATTTTTTATTTCTATTGAATTTTTGCAATTTTTATTCAGTATAGTTGGTACTTAGATTCCCTCTCCATACCTCCCCCATCGCCCCTGCCTAATTTAACACACACACACACACACACACACACACACACACACACACACCACGTATCTCTCCAGTAGAGTTTGGTTTGTGTACCCAAATGCCCCTCAGTGTGGGTCCATCCCTTGAGCTCATCAAGAGTCCTATCCTGGTAAGACACTGCCTTTTCCCCTACAAGAAGCCATTAAGTGCCAAAAATTCCTTAGTTTGGGTTGGGATTTCTTACTCACTTCCCCATGTCTGTGCTGGAATTTTGTCTGTTTTGAACTTGCATAGGACTTGTGTACACTGTCACCATTATTGTGAGTTTCTATGAGTAAACTCTGGAAAACTCTGCTTGCTTGTGGTCATCTACTCCCTGTGGCTCTTAGACTCTTTCCATCTCTTCTTCCACAATGATCCCTGAGCTTTGGGAAGCAGAGGTTGGAAATAGATGTCCTATTCAGGGATAAGCACTCTGTGGCCTCTTGTTCTCTGCATGTTTGCCAATTGTGGGTTTCTCTTAATCACCATCTTCTGTATAAGGAAACTTCTCTGAAGAGAGCTAAGAGATGCGTTCATCTAGAAAGGATTTTTATTTGTGTTGGTGTTTGGTTTACATTATCGTCTGTTAAGATGCCAAGGTTCTGGTTGTCCTTATTTCTGCTTCATTCCCTTTGACCACATGACATACAAAAAATGTCCACTGACTCGTCAGTTTTTTTTTTTTTTTTAACTTTTACAAAAACTTTATGGAGAATTTCATACATGTATAGAAGGGGTTTTGATCAAATCCATGCCCACTCCCTCCCCTCCAACTTTCCTCCTTCTGAAGAGGTAACCCCCTCTGAAGAGGTAATTTAAGGATTAGATACAAGCTCCCAAATACTTTTGATGTTTTTGGCCCTTGGAACAGAGTATGTTGCTAACAGGCCCAAGAAACTGGCTACATTTCTTTGGGGTCTTTTTACCCTAACTGCCTAGCCAAGTCCTACCTCCTATTCTTATCATGCCAGCCTCTGAAGGGGTTATCCAGATAGCCAATAGAGAATAGGGACACAGCCCGCTCTGGCTTCTTCCATGCTGAACAGGGATGCGAGGTGAAGCAAGTGGAGTATCCCTTCACTGGGTCTATCTAAAAGACTCCCAAATTGCATAACTCTTGTCTCTAAGGGGAAAAGAAAGTCATTGAATCATGAATAGGAGATGTGAAGGAGAAGTAAAGGCAAGAATAATTAGCACACATATCTTTTTCTTAGTTTTGTTTTTGGTATTGGGAATTGAACTTAGGGCTTTGCATGTGTCAGGCAAGTGCTTTACCATGGAGGTACATCTCAATCCCAATCCTTTTTTTAAAATTTTGGGACAGGGTCTTAGTAAATTGCCCAAGCTGGTCTTGAAGTTATAGTAATCCTCCTGCCTCAGCCTCCTGAGTTCTGGAAATACAGATATAAGCCACAATGCCTGGTGAGTTTCCTACTTACCTGAAAAGTTCTTTTCATTTTGCTCTTTTATTTTCCTGAACCATAGATGATATAATTTCCAGGATTCTTTCTTTAGCTTCCTTTAATTCAACTTCTTTTGGCTGGCTGCATTCATTACACAGATTTGAATTTTATTTTCCACACTAAGTTGTCAGTGTTTTTTAACATGAACATTTTTCTCAGAGGAAATCTAGTTAAAATTCTGTCCATACTTTATGTTGTTTTGAAATGTTCAGTGTTAATTGTAACAACACTACTGAGATCAGCAATTGAATTCAGGTTGACTGATTCTAGCTCTTTGATTGAAGGTGTTGTTTTTGTAGTTTATGCTTGATAGTTTCAATAAAATAAAATACGAGACAGATAAATGTTATTTTTAGATTAGTATTTTATATGCCTAAAAAGAAATTTGAATTAATTTTTATCTTGTGACTGTAAAAAATTGTTCTTTCTCAGGCAAGGAATAAAAAAATGCAAGCAGTAGGGTCAAGCACACTGGAGAAGCATTTGATACTGTTGTTATGCTGAAGTGGTTACTAGCTTATGGAATTGTAAAGCCCAAATCAGAGTTGGTACAGCATGCTATTAATCAGAATAATTTTGGTTGGAAGAAAAGTAGTTTTAATTTTTTTAACTCAAGTGGAAATATATAAACATGCTGCATATCCAAAAGAATCTAGTAGATTTATGTTCTTGGGTTATGTAAATATTTTCTTGGTAATTCTTACATTGTATTGGTATAGTTTATTCTTGCAGATCAATAATAAAATTATACATATTACGTCATAATTCTTGACTAGAACATTTTCACTGTTTTACACTGTAATGTCGACTAAAATATTTAGTAGGGTATAGTTCTGTTCCAAAGACTTTTTGAATAATTGAGTAGTTAAAAGAATTAAAGATCGTTGAATTGATATTTCAGAACTTGACAGAACAGTTGCTGAAGAAAGAATTGGATTATACCCACTTAGAGGAGAGGCATAATGAAGAATCAGTGAGTAAAAAGAATATACAAGCAACTCTTCATCAAAAGGACATGGATTGTCAGCAGCTTCAGGCAAGATTAACTGCATCTGAAACCTCCCTGCAGAGGATACAAGCAGAACTGAGTGAAAAAGGAGAGGCTACCCAGAAGCTCAAAGAAGAACTGTCAGAAGTGGAGACCAAATACCAGCATCTTAAAGCAGAGTTTAAACAGCTACAGCAGCAGAGAGAAGAAAAGGACCAGCATGGGCTACAGCTCCAAGGGGAAATTAATCAAGTAAGAGATGTTAGTTGTAACTGTAATAAGGCTCTCTGGGTCTCCTTACTGAGTGTGCCTGATATTTGATAATAACATAGTTCATGTTAAAAAATTGTCACTTAAAAATTCAGTTTTTACATCTTGTAGTATTGTTAAGTCACATTCCCTTTAAATTCAGTTTCCTTTAAGGATGGCTCACAACTGCCTGTAACTCTACTTGGGGGGGGGGCGGTATCCAATGCCTCTAGCTTGCTTCCACAGGTACTTGCACTCACATGCACACCATACACACACACACACACACACACACACACACACACACAAATTAAAAACTCAAAGTAAATTTAAAAATTTAAAAAACAAGGCACAGGCTGGAAAGGTGGCTCAGGGAATAAAAATGCTTGCTATACGAGCATTTTTCCCCTAGCCCCCATGCAAAAGTCTGGGTTTGGCCATACTTGCTTGTAACCTCAGAAAGGGGGAAAAGGGGAAGGTAGAGACAGGGGTATAGTTGGGACTTGCTGACTGCCAGCCTAGCCAAAAAATGGTAAGTTCCAGGTTTAGTGAAAGGCAGAGAGTGAAAAAGATACCTAACTCCTGACTGGTTGAGGCTATCTCTAGTACCCAAATGTAAGGTACCAGTTGTGGCTGGGCATGCTGGGTCATGTACCTAATACCAGCACTCAGGTGGCTGAGGCAAGAGAATTGAGAATTCTAGACTATTTTGGGATATGTAAGGAGTCAGGTTAATCTGAACTGCAATGTGAAATCCTATTTCAGTTTAGAGGGGTGGTGGTGGTGGCTGTGATATGGTTTATCCTGTAATGACACTTGTCTGGGTCCTACATGCTGGAAGGATAGACCTGACTCTCACAAGTCGCCTCTGGCCTCCACATATACATGACAGCATATATATGCAACGTGTACAAATACATACACACAAATGAATTTTAAAATGTAAGAATAAAAAAAATTTAAAAATCAACTGTGGTGGTTCTTATAGAAAACCAGCAAAAATTACTGTGGGAACTTAAAAAAATATGTCTGAATGTGCCCTGAATATTGTAAATTTTAAGTTTCATTCTATTATTTTAAATCTCTCAAGTGAGTCTAACACTTACTCAGATGAGAGTCCCTGGTTTCCTGTATTTTTTAAGGAGCAATTGAACAGAGAGAAAATATGCAATGTTTAGTCACAGTTTTATGTGCTATAATTTATGTGATTAAAATTCAGTTGTTCTTGAAGGTATCATGAAAATTAATGTTAACAATTGCTTACTGGTATAAAATAAAGTGTAGTTTGATAAAGAAGGTGGTAGTGTGTGTATTTATACAAGTACATACTGTACAATTTTTTTTGTTTTTGTTTTTCCTGCTTTAAAGTTGCATAGCAAACTTTTGGAGACTGAGCGCCAGCTAGGGGAAGCTCATGGTAGGCTGAAGGAACAGAGGCAGCTTTCTAGTGAAAAGCTGATGGATAAAGAACAACAGGTAGCTGACTTACAACTCAAACTTTCTCGTTTAGAAGAACAGGTAAGCCAGCAGTTTTAAGTGAGTTGATACTATAAAAAAAAGTATTTATAGATGAAGTATGTATATGGTTCCTTCTTTTTAAAAAAGCTTTAATTGGAATTGTTTTTGTTTCACATTGCAACATTTATTTCTCTACAACTAAAACATCCTCCGTATTAACTGCATTTTAGTTACTACACTTTACTGTAATTGCATTCCCCAAAGTTCTCAATGGAAATATGCAAAGACTGCTTTTTAGCTTTAGTCAGGAAAAGTTTTGGGGTTGATCCTTGGGCTGCTGGAGTCATCCTATGCAGGAAGAGTCCCTTACTGCTGAAACAGTGATCCATGAATAGCTGGTGAGGATCATTTTGTACATATGAACTTTGAGTTTGTGTGTATTTGAGGATTTCATTTTAAAATCAACCATATAGGACTGGGACTAGCTCACTGATGCAGCTTGCCTAGTCTGTGTGAGTCCATAAAGTTAAATTCCCAGCATCCTAAAACACACACTCCCAAACTATCAGATTGAATGCTACCTCAGTGAAAGTTATAGTTGCTCAAATGGTACCCTTATGTGGTTAAAGTAAAAGCTGTGATTAAATTGTGATTTCTATTTGAATTGAACAGATTCTCAGGGTTAAAAATCTGTAGATTCAGCAATAGATTTTTTTAGAGGTAATGTTGTAAATGTGATCTGATTCCTTCTGAGTAAACTATAGCTGTAACTATTAACAAAAAAGGAGAAATATTGATACTGTGGTTTAGATTATTGTTACAAATAAATTGTGTGTAATTGAGTCCTTTAGTATATTGGTATATAGGAAACAATTACGAACTAATGCCAGACGATTCATGTTCTTTTCAGGATGGGACTTTATCATCAGAGAATGGTTTCTTCATCATAAAATTAAGATTCTACAAGTAATGAAATATTGCTTTAATGCTGATTTTTCCATATGGTTTGGTTTTATTTTTCTGTTCTAATTTGAGAATTGAAAGAATAACCAGATAGTTATGCATAATCCCATTTATGCCTTAAATTGTCAACTGATAGTCTACATTTTTTTTAAGTTGAAGGAAAAAGTAACAAATTCCACAGAATTGCAACATCAGTTAGATAAATCAAAGCAACAACATCAAGAGCAACAGGCCCTTCAGCAAAGCACTACAGCAAAACTACGAGAAGCCCAGGTAAATGTTATACTAATAATTAATTTTTAAATATTTATTTTTAACTATGTGTATGTGTCTAAATCTGTATGTGTGTTTATGTGTACATGTGTGCAGGTACCATGGAAGCCAGAAAAGGGTATCAGATTCCCTAGAGCTGGAGTTACAGGCTGTTAAGCCACCTGACTGACATAGATGCTAGGAATTAAACTCCAGTTAAGCAGTGAACGTTCTTAACTCATGTGCTGTCTTGCTATTATTAGCCCCTAATAATTTGTTTTTTAAGCAAAAATGAAACAAAATCATTTTCCTTTTTTGTGATGGAATTATAGAATGCAAAACACTTGATTATGAGTTTTGATAGTATTCAGTGATAGATAATCAGAATTTTTCTTTTGATTTCTATGAGTAAAAATTTAAATTTGAGTGGCTGGAGACATGGATCAACAATTCCAGAAGACCTGCACAGAGGCTGCTCTTACAGAGGACCTGGGTTCAGTTCCCAATGCCCACATAGTGACAAACAACCATTTATAACTCCAGTTTCTAGAGAACTGACACCATCATCTAGCCTCCATAGGCACTGTACATATGTGGTGCATATGCATACATGAGGCAAAAACACTAATACCTGTGGGCACGTCTGTGTGGTTTTTTCTGTTTTCATTTCTTGTGTGTGTGTGTGTGTGTGTGTGTTTGTGTTTGTGTTTGTCTTTTTGAGACAGGGTCTTCTAGTGGTCCCAGCTGACCTGGAACTTGCTAATATTGACCAGGCTGACCACAGCCTCACAGAGATCTATCTGCCTGCCTCTGCCTCCCAAGTACTAGGAAAAAAGGCGTATACCACCACACCTGATTCCCAGGTTGGTTTTTGTCAGAGTATTTTATCACAGCAGTAGAAAGCTAACTAGGACAGCTATCATCCGAACATTGGAATTATAGGTATAGAAAATATAATTGATTTGGTTAAATTCATACAGGTTCCATTGCATAACTTAGAAGGGTTAAAGAAGTTTAGTTTTGTTATATGAAAGTAGGATTCATGTTTGAGGTGAATTCGCCTTTGGTATTCATTTGTTCCTTCATTCGTTCACTTATCAAATATTACTGAGCACTGAGTGTCAGACACTGCTCAGAACCAAGAATAAAGAGGCACAGTGTCTGCCCCCTAGAAAAAGCACTGTCGAGTGATGTATACATAATATAATTGTGAAGTTTGGAGGAAGATATATCGTTTCTGCAGTAAGGAACATTTCCTTGTTGAGTACGGAGTACGGCATGGGAACCAGACAATAGAGATGAAATATTCAATCAGTCAACAGCATTATTTTTGTCTATTCTCAGTCAAGGATCTGATTGTGTTTCTATGGCGGTCAATAAAACAAAATGTCTGCTGTCATGAAGTTTAGTGATGGAGGCGAACAATAACCAAGATAAATAAGCAAAACGTATAGTGTGCTAAGTGCTCTGATCAAGAACAAAAGGAGGAGGATCAGGGTTTAGGAAGCATATATGGTGATGGAAGTGTTAGGAAGATTGCAGTGCTAGGGAGGGTTGCTAGAGAAGGCTTCTTTGAAAGACCTAAAGCAAGGCAGGGTATGAGTCTTGTAGACTTCAGAGAGAAGAGCATCAATGATATGTTAAAAGCTCTTGAGGCGGGAGCAAGTCTCAGGAGTAACAGGAGCTGATTAGGTTAGTGTGATTGATAACAGTTAAAAGAGATATGGTCACAAAGATCACATGGGGTCAGAATATGTAGAAATTCATGGGTAATTTAAGGACTTCATTTTACTTTTGTCTTTTTGAGTAAGGCGAGAAATTGAGGAGTTCTGAATAAGGAAGTGACATGGTCTGACTGACAGCTTCTTAGAATCACTCTGGCTGCTATATTGTGAATAGACTGTAGGGGATGTGAACAAAAGCAGAGAAATTAGCGGAGAGACTAGTAATTCAGATAAGAAACTAGATTATGTGACTATAGGTAACTCTGGGATTTTGCTGTGAAGAGTAGGAAAAAATGGGATGATAAAGCTAACATGGAAAATTTGGCATGGGTCAACAGCTAAGAGGATTTTCCTATACAGTATCCTTAAGTTAAATTTTATTCATATAGCTGTAGACACTGCTGGAAATGACAGCTTTTCACCTTATAGGCAGTTTAAACTCTCCAACTCAAGGGAGATAAGGGCCCCAGTAGAACATGCTTACTCGTTGTTTATTCTACACTTACCAATAAATTTAAATTATTTCCTGAGAATTAATGAGAATGAGAAAGGCGTCAAACTAAGTTTTTCATGGATGTAAAAATCTTAAAAACTAAATGTAATGAGCACAGTTCTAGCCGTTTATATGTATATGAGATTATTACGGACTATAGCTGACAAGTTACTTAACCTAAACCTTGTTTGGAATAGAGAAGTCTTAGGGAACTTCTTAGATGACCATCTGAGTCACAGCATGTTTCTGGGGCAGGTACAATGGTGATAGAAGTATATGCCTCTGGTAGTAGGAACAAAAGCTGAGAGCATGGAGGTTGTGTGGCCTTTCATGACTTAAGGATGAAGCTTAGAAGAATGAAAAGCATGTTTGAAAGTGACTGGCTTTCAGTAGTTGAATACTGACAGAAATTATTGAAGATGCTAGGTAGTTACTGGTTTTGTCTCTAACATTGCATGAAGTAGTTGTAAAGTCTATAAATGAACTGGTTAGGGCTTTATTCTGGGTAGCAGCTGCCTGACTTTCTTAAAAAGATAGAGGTGGAGCCATAGGCATTGGACTAACTAGTTTGAGAAAGAGGATATTGTTCTAGATATGCACTATTGTATTATACTTTATGTAACATTTAGATCCTTGGTAAAGTAAAAGATGGCTTTGCTGATTTATTGATAGAAGAGTCCTACTGGATATAAAAATGAGCCTGCACAAGTGTACATGTGTTACAGTGCAATGATCTTTTTCTCTCAATATTTTTATTGAATTTTTGTGTATTTCATACAGAACATCTTAGTCAATCTTAGTCATCTTTATGCCCCCTTCCCCACTGGCACCCTCTCATAGCTCTCTCACTGGAATTCATACATTCTGTCATTTGTCTTAAAGACCATTGTGTCAAGTTAGTGTCCCTAGACATTCCCTCAGTGCAAGTTCATCTACTGCAGTCTAGTCAGCCTACCTAGAGTCTCTTGTTTTTGGAAGATCAGCTTTTCCTCATCTAGCAGTAATCACTTATCAATATTTTCTCAGTTAAGATTGAGGTCAGCTGTCCATTTCCCCAGTTCTATGCTAGGTTTGTCTGTTTGAGTTTGCATGGGTCCTGTGCATGCTAACACCATTGCTATGGATTCATATGAGCAGGGTCCCAGGAGCTTGTAGAACTCTTATTTCCATATGGTCATGCACCTCCTCCCTGACTCTTAACATCCTCAGTGGTCCCTGAGCCCTGGGTGGGTGAAGTTTAATATAGGAGTTCTGTCCAAGGACCAGCATTCTGTAAACCCTTAGTCTCTACACCTTTGGCCATTTGTGACCTTTTGTGTTCCTGGCTCTCTGTTGCATGAGGGGGCTTCATTAATGAGAATTGAGATATTCATTGTTGTCTTCTTTATTCCTTGTTCTATGTTCAGTGAGCCTTAACTGTAGAGGTTGCATTGTAGATGCACCACTTAGACTTGTGCAATTCACAGACAATGCCTGTGTATGACCAGTTGTGGTACTCTGTAATAGTCTTTGATGCAAAAGAAGCATCTTTGATGAATAGTTACAGGGATATTTGTCTGTAAGTATAAGGATACATATTTTGCACATTGTAAGAAATTACATTAGTGCAGGGATGTGACAGTCTGGGGGTTTTCTCAGTGATCTCCAGCCATGTGTATTTGGCTATGTTTATAGTACCATACATGAGTTTCCTCTCATTGAGTGGACTTTTAGTCCAATTAGGTAGCTGTTGATTGCCCCCAAGATAAAAGTGCCACTACTACACCAAATTGTATGCTGTGCTGGTCACTGATGTAGTTATTTGGTTTTGAAGCTGGTGTTGGACCATAGATTGATGTTCTCCCATAGTACCTTACATAGGGCTTTCCAAAGCTATATGCAAGGCCTAGCTGATAGCTAGCCTTAAGGGGAAGTGGCTTCCAGTTCAGTTCCAGCTCCATTGTTCCAAATCCTCTGTCCAAAGTATGTTCTGTCTTCAGTAGTAGGGTCTTACCTTCAAGTTCTTGGAGGGACTCAGGGGCTGTGGCAATGGCCTGTGTAATTTTGGGAGTCTCTTGGACCACCCTGGCCAACAACTCAAGGAAAGGTTTCTTCTATCTGGCACTGTTTCTTGTTATGTAGCCTTCAGCTATACACATGGACTCATTTAGAGATATATGTATAATTTGTCATTTGGTTGTTGAACTAATAGGATTTCTTGTGATTTTTTTACACTAGCTAGGCATTATTTATCTCTCCTCTCTCCCTGTCTAACCTTTACACCATGACTTCCCCATTTAAAATGTCCCCTTTCTCCCGCATTTCTCCCTTGATAATACCTGTCTCCAATAGTCACACCTCTCTTGAGCTTTTTCTTTTGCTTTGTCCCCCAAAGTTCCTCGGAAAACCCTCCCTCTTCTCTCCCTCTTAAATACCCCCATTTTATCCATTTGTCCCTTAGTAACACCTGTCTCCTACTGTTCTTCTCTCAGGTTCCTTCTTTCCCTTTACCTCCCTGGTTCCTTTTCATTATCCTGGTCCTGCAGTTATATCTGGATGCATACTCACATATAGGATTTGGTGCTAGGATCCACATATGAAGGAGAGCATACATCATTTGTTTTTCTGAGTTTATGTTATTTCACCTAGTTTAACAGTTTCTAGTTCTATCAATTTACCTGAAAATTTCATGATTTCATCTTTCTTTACTGCTGAATAGAACTTCATTGTGTAAATGTACCACATTTTCATTAACTACTCGTCAGTTTAGGGACATTTAGGTTGCTTCCATCTCTTAGCAGAAGCCCAAGACAGAGGAGAATCAAATGCTCTTCCCTCCTAAAGTCTAGGTCCCTCTAGCCAGCAGCACAGCACAATTTGGGAGCTTGTTAGGCTGAGGCTGGTTGTTTTGTAATCTCAGGCAGTCTGCCAAAGTCTGGGCCTCTACAGAGGGCAAGGAACCTGCAGCAGTGCGAGGGGTTGCAGATGGTGCCAATGTAGGGATTTGGGTCCAGGAGATTGGAGTTGCTCAGGCTGTAGAGAAGTCAAGGTGCAGTGTGTATCAGCCTTACAGGGTTGAAGGTTGGTGTGGGGAATTCAAGACAAGTTAGGGGTGGGGATAGCCTGTGAATGCTCCAACAAACTAGTCTAAAAATTTGAGCTGGTCTGAGTGCAGGTGATTAGGATGCAATGTGTGGGAGATCCAGGGCGTTGAAAGCAAAAGCAGGCCTGTGCCCAAGGCTAGAATGAGAACAGGATGTGGGTGGGAGATTGGAGTTGCTCAGGCTGTAGGGAAGTCAAGCCTAGTGGGCAGGATCAGACTCACCAGCAAAGGATGGTCTAGAGAATTCAAAGTAAATTGGGGTGAGGACAGCCAAAGTAGAAAACTGGTCTCAGAAGTGCAAAGGCAAGTTGGGGGTGGGGACCACCTGTGAAGGCTCTAAGAAACTAGATTGAAAAATTGAGCTGGTCTGAGTGTAGGGGATCAGGACGCAATGGGTGGGTCTGGGCTAAGAGGGTAGTCCAGAGATATGGGGTGTTGAGAGCAAAAGCAGGCCTGTGCCCAAGGCTAGAAGGCAAACAGGATATGGGTCAAGGAGCACAGTACAATGATTTTTTTTTTCATTCAGTGATTATTTTAGAACATCTGTGTCATATATCTTGGATATATATCAATGAATAAGACATGAGAATACTCACCTTTGTGTTGCATACATACATTCTAATGGGGAGAAGGAGAGAAGTAAATAAACATGGGGGAAAAGCTGTAGTGTGCTAGAGAGAAGTGCAGTGAAGTGTAAAAACCAGTATATGGAGTAATGGAAAAGGCTGCGGTTTGAAATCTAATGGTCAGGGCAAACTTGATTGACAAGGTAGCAGTTGAACAGACATTTGAAGAAGAGGGAGTGAATCATAGTAGTCATTAAGGAAGCATTTAAGGCAGAAAAATTATTAGTACAAAGGCTCTGAGATGGGAGTGTGCTTGCTGTATTCAAGGACTCATGAATCTCACATGTCCTCAATAAGATCAGAAGAATAGGAAGCAAGTTCACAGTGCTAGGAAAAGTATGATGTGAACTTTTTTGTTAAAGTCATGCTTATAAATAATATAGATTTATATTACTAAATGTATAGTTCTGATTAATTTGGCATCATTTTAAAATGTAGGAATAAAACTTTGAGTGATGAAAATTATTATCAATCACTTTATGTCTGAATGATAGCTTTTTTAATTTTCTGTTCTTAAAATAGCAGTTTCTAATTCTTTACAGAATGATTTGGAGCAAGTATTGCGTCAGATTGGTGATAAGGACCAAAAAATCCAGAACCTCGAAGCCTTATTACAGAAAAGTAAGGAAAATATTTCTTTATTAGAAAAAGAAAGAGAAGATCTTTATGCAAAAATTCAAGCTGGTGAAGGAGAGACTGCTGTTCTTAACCAGTTGCAAGAAAAGAATCATACTTTACAGGAACAAGTAAGTTTGTAAAATGTGTTGTATCTCTAAAGTTTACTCTCACTTCTGCCTCCTGAGTGCTGAGATTTTAAATGTGTTTTATATAAATGATTAATCATCCTGACTGGTTTTGCTCCTTTAAAATTTTTATTTTTGACAGATACCATCTCATTTACCTTTGACATAGGTCACTAGTGTAGTGAAAGGCTGTTAGCATGCTTTGACAAAGGAGATCTTCAGTTCCCGTCCCAGAATGTAACTTATTTATGGGACTGTAGATAGATCACCTTGTTAGCTTGTTGGAAAAGTAGACATGTTACATACTTGCTTCCTGGCATTGTGATGTTTAAAAAAAGGAAGTGAATAGTAACATAACTTAATACATTAGAAATAGTAATCACGTGTTAGCTATTACAAAGTATTGAATAATATTTGAAACTCAATAGTTACTTAGATTTGAATAATGCATATATTTTTGGATAATATATCGCACCCTAATAGTTTTGATATTGTTTTATTATTCCACAACTCTCATGTAGTTTAAAAGAAACTTACAAAATTTTAAAACTGAAAATAATTTATATCTGCTGTATAGGAAGTCTTATCAAGTAAGGGAATTTTATTATCTAAATAAGAAAATATTAGAATAAAATATTAGTAGGTAATACCACTGTTCTAATTTTCGAGTTAGAATAGATTGTGAATTTCCTATCAAATTTCCAGGCTAGTCGTTTGCTTATTTTTCATTTATTTATTTTGAGACTAGGATCTTACATGTAGCCTAGGCTAGCTTCCAACTTATGATAATCTTACCTCAGCTTCCTGACTGCTATTATGATGGGTGTGTGTTACCACATCTGAGTACTCAAGTTGTTTTGTTTTGTATTGTATTTTTTGTCTGCATGTTTTGTTTTGAGACAGTCTTGTTACTATAGCTCTAGCTAGCATAGAACTTGCTATGTAGATCAAGCTAACTTCAAACTTGGTCCTCACACTTCTGCCTCCTGAGTGCTGGGATTTTAGGTGAGTGCCACCATGCTTAGCTCCAAGTTAATTTTCAAGAATTCTTATCAGGTGCCCATTAGCCAAATTTTTATGAAGAATTTCTTAATCTATTCTTTGTTTACATCTTGATACTGCTTGTTATAGAAGTATGATCAGGACACATATGTATACATACATACTATATATTCCCATACATACAATAGTGATAAAACATTTAAAAAGAAATATCAGAAAAATTATACATTTTAAAAAAGCAAATTTCAATAAATGTACATTTTGTTCTGATCACCCTGGAGTAACTGGTACCTGTTTAGACCTCCTGCCATGAACAACTAGAAAAGTGGGGGGAAATGCATAAAAGCACTTTTTTTTAGCCATTAGACAGTATGCAAAGTATAAGACTGTGACACCTGAGAAATCAGAGAGTTGGAACCCTTGACTCCCCTGACTTGTGACCTAGAGCTATTTTTCCAGGCTACCACATAGGTTGAGGGGGTCCAGGGAAAGCAGTGATCTCATTGAACTGATGAGTTGGAGGTTGATTTAAGTTGAAAAAACTTCAAGGAGGTTAAGATGACTTGAATTGGTAAGACAGAGTGTCAGAGAGGAATGAACGACACAGAGAAAAGGCACTAGAAATCTGCTTGAGAGTCTGTTGGTAGCTTTGGTTGAATGCTAAGTTATACTCCTAAGGTAAGAAAGAGTCTGTGATTCCAAGTGATGAACTGGAACCCACAAAGAGATCTTCAAGCTCAACCACTCAGAGATGAGAAACATTGGTTGACTGATTAGGGCATTCAATAGGGACACCAGAAATACCACACCTTACATGGGAAGTAAACCAGGCCTAGAGTAAAAGCTACTATACACCTCCTCTAATGGAATGTAAGAGTAAACCTTGGGCCCAGGTGAAACACAAATGCATTACTTGCCTGCTAGAACAAAATTCAACATTTTTTGAGAGAAGGCAACATAATTCAGGTCAATCACAATAAATGACCAAAAGTTACTGGATATATGAAGCAGCAGAATATTTATCATAACCAGTAGAAAATAATTCAGTGGAAGCTGTTTGGGCTCTTGCTTAGCTCAGCAGCTCACTTCCACTCTTGAGATTACTTTTTTCTTAATAAACTATTTCTATCCCATGCCTGACTTGAAAGGCATGACTTTCTTTCCATCTCTTCCTGGCAGCTGCCAGGATTTTCATCTACCCTGTACTATTTTTTTCCTCTTAAACTCTAATAAAATTTTTTCTTGGGTTAAAAAGAAAAGAAAATGATTCAGTGGAAACAGATCCTCAAATGAAAGATGAAAGATGATGGGATTTTCAGACAAGTACTTTAAGACACCTTTTAATGTGTTTATGGATATAAAGGAAAAGCCCAATAATGGGAATAGAAATAATAAAATACTCATGTGAAACTGCTAGAAATAAAAAGACTTAAAATACTTGAATTGAAAATTGACAGGAAAGGTATCAATGAACATAAAAACATAAAAGTAATTGAACTGTTCAAAATGAAGCAGAAAAGAAAATGCCTTGGGGACTCCTGGGGCAGCATCACATAGACTTGCAAAATATAATGAGCATCAGAGGAGGACAAGGAAGAAGGCAGCATTTGTAAAATATGGCTGAGGAGAATTTTTAATTTGATTAAAATATAAATCTATAAATTTTAAAAGTTAAGACAAAAATACATGAAAATACATATCATATGTATTAGATTTCATCTAAAATTTAAAATATGTACTTTTCAAAAGAAAACATTATGAAAATAATGCCAAGATACAGTTGAGAGAAGTATTTGTAGTATATATCTATCTGATAACCTAGAGACACCCACAATATGTAAGGAACTCTCGTCACTCAGATTAATGATTATATGGGGCAAAACTGGGAAGTGGGAATGACTACAAAGACACATGAGAAAATATTTTGAGGTGATGAAAATAGTCTTTACTTTGATTGTAATAATGGTCAAATGAATGTATACCTTTATGAGATCTCAAAATTTATACTTTATTGCATGGAAATTATAGTTGAATACAGATGATTTGAAAATAATATATCTGAATTTGATGTTGTTTTGGGGATTTGAGATACTAAGCTTATTTTTTAAAAGGTGTGAATAATTTTACTTGTAAAAGTTGAAATTACCTATTATAGAGCAGTTTAATATTCTCATTGTGTTTAAATTCAGTGTTTTAGTTTTTGTTATGTGATTTGAAAACTTAGACTCTTGCTTAAATAACAGGTAACTCAGCTGATGGAGAAGCTGAAGAATCAGTCAGAGAGCCATAAACAAGCTCAGGAGAATTTACATGACCAGGTACAAGAGCAGAAGGCACATCTTCGAGCTGCACAAGACCGTGTTCTTTCCCTAGAAGCCAATGTTAGTGAATTAAACAGCCAGCTAAATGAAAGCAAAGAGAAGGTCTCCCAACTTGACATTCAGGTAATATGCAGTTATGCTGTTTAATGAGTGTATATGTGTAAAGTACCAATTTTAGAATATCAGATGTTAAAGATTCTTTTTGCTTTACATATTAATGGGAAATACAAATTAAATTATGTAAGTTGTTGAACTTTCCCCTTCGCACAGATGTTTTGTTCTCTTTATTTAAAGGTGATTTCTGTAATGCACCTTTTTAAAAATTAAAAAAGAAAAAATTTTGAGACAAGGTCTCCCTGTAGTACCAGCTGGCATGGAACTCATTGTGTAGACCAAGCTGACCTCAATCTCATAGAGATCTGCTTGTTTCTACCTTCCTGAGTGCTGGGATTAAAGGTGTGCACCATCCACTGTACCCAGTTCTGTAAAATACCTTTTGATTCCTACTTCCAAGTTACTTCCTGGCAGGATGATCAGCACCGTATGAGGGTAAATTAACAGGTTAAGTATCTGCCAGCATATCATGAGACTGCTCTTGATGCCTTACTACTGTTGTAAGGGCTTAATGTATATGTTGCAACAATGTGGGTTGCAGCAGTTGGCACGTCTTCTAATATTAGTGCATATAAAGGGACTAGAGACAGGCTGACTGTTTTTGCCATCAGAAAGTTCTGAAACTATAAACTAGTGGAGTTATTTCTTAATCTCCAAATCTTTACATGTTACATGACTTTGGAAATATGTCCCACAAACTGAAACATACTATGTGATAAGATGATGTTCAATTACGCAGGCAGATCTCTGTGAGATGGATGCCAGCCTGGTCTATATGGAGAGTTCCAGGCCAGCTGTGGCTACAGGGAGACACTGTCTCAACAAGACAAAAATAATTGATTTTGAATTGCTGACTTGAGTTTCACAAAAAAAAAAAATGTTACAAGAATCGTGGCTGGAGGTTAGGACAAAATTTTCAAAAATTTTGAAATGATCATAAACCTCTTTCTGCCATTTCATTCTAAGTATTTATGCAAAGCAATATCCTCAGCATCACGTACTGATTATAAATCCAAAACATTCAGACTGGAGCGATGACTCAGTGGTCAAGAGCAGTGGCTGCTCTTGTAGAATACCCAGGTTTGATTCTCAGCATTCACAATGGTGGCTGATAACCATCTTCAACTCCAGCTTCAGGGGATCCAATGCCCTCTTCTGACCTGTAGCCATTGCACGAAATGGGTGCACTTACATACATGCAGGCAATAAATACACTCATACAAATAGAAAATAAAAAATTAAAATAAATAGAATATTTTTAAAGCAAAATATTCCACTTTGAACAATGTTGATACTCTATATCTCGTGGTGTCAAATATTAAGCCAATTTTTAATTCTTCGTATAAAAATAAACATATCTGTCTCATTAGTATGCAAGTTTGTTTTCACCTTTAGTAAATAGTAAAATTATCTATATACCAACATTTTTAAAAAATAAAGTTCTGATTTATTATCAGTAAAAAAAACAGATGTTTAATTATGTTTTAAGGTAGTTCATGAATTTTTAGTTCCTCAGACATCCTGTATATAAAGAAGCTGTTTAAATAAGTTCTTCATAGTCTCTGATATATGTGTCAGTGATTAGTTTACTTCCTATTATTTAAAATATAAATTTCTTAACTTTTCACTTTTAATTCAGGATAGAAGAAGATATCTTGTCAAATATTCTTACTGTGACAATTAAATGCTGAGTTATTAAGAAATAATTCTTCAGAGGATTTCCTTTCTGCTTAAAATTAACCTTCCAGTATATATTTAAATTTTTTTATGTTTATCAATCCCTCTCCTCATTTAGTAAATGAGTACTCTCTCCTTTTTAATGCTTATCAACATATTTTAATTTCAAATGTATTTAAATTTTTTCCTACCTTCTGCTTTTCTTTTGGAGGTAAGTTATGCTAAAGTTAGTTATATTCTTTTTAAAATGTTGCTTCTAATAAATAGGGCAGAACTTTTAGTCCATTTGGTTCTATTCAAAACTTATTGTGGAAAACTTGGAGTTTTTAATGTGTAATTTCTTTAGCTTTTAATGATCATCAGAAGTAAAACTCTTTACATGAGATGTTCTCAGGAAAGAGTGAATTTTAAACATAACTTCAGCTTGCCTAGATGTTTAGACTCCATAAATTATGAAATTCTTTAAAAATATTTTTTGATTGATTTTTATTTTATGTGTATGAGTGTTTTGCATGTATAATGTAAATGCACCCATGTTATGCAGTGCCTACAGAGGCCAGAAGAAGGCATTGGATACCCTGGAACTGGAGTTACAGAAAGTTGTTAGCTGCCGTCTGGGTGCTGGGAACTGAACCCTGGTTTTCTACAAGAGCAACCAGTGCTCTTAACTGCTGAGCCATGTCTCCAGCCCCCAGAAATTGTCAATTATCATTGGTGCCAGTCATTTCCTTTGACATAGTTCAGTTTATTGTCATGCTGGTAGATTTTGAACATTTACTTCTGAAAAATACAATGGCCTTTCTCAGGAAAAAAAAAAATTACAGTTTCTTTGGTTTCTTTTTGTTGTTGTTATTGTTGTTATTGTTTTTAAGACATCATCTAACCATGTAGCACAGGTTGAACTGTAACTCAGAATCCTTTTGCCTGTGCCACCCAAATGCTCTGATTACAGACCTACCATTCCTGCCACCATCTTTCTTAATAAGGGGCACTATAGTGTTTTGGGAGTACAATAGTACTTTATTGTCATAGAGAAATATCTTTCCATTGTTATATAAGCATCAGGAGTCTTCTCCCTTCTATTTGGAGGACTTTCACACGCATATTTTTCAATGTCTAAGTTACTATTTTTCTAGTAAAGGACTTAACTTTTTAATATATTGGTGACAAAATCAATGTTTATTAAAAAAGAAGTTCACAACTCAATATAGAATTAAGTAACATATAAATTTTGTTACAGATTAAAGCCAAAACTGAATTATTACTATCAGCAGAAGCAGCAAAAACTGCTCAAAGAGCCGATCTTCAGAATCATTTGGACACAGCTCAAAACGCATTACAAGATAAGCAGCAGGTAGGGAACTTGGTAATTTCGCATTATTATCTAGTGTTTTTGTAAATACATTCATGATGAATTTGTAACAATGATACCCAGTTTTATATAATTTTGTGATAGACTTGCATAACCCTCTTAATTCCTCCCTGAGTTCAGAACAAAGTTGAGTCAGATAGATGAATATAAAAATGCCACATCTGCTTTTGACAAAACTAGTATGCTGGTATAATTGGCTTCCTAATATTGTACTGTGTGTCCTCATTAGCCTAGACCTTAGCAGGAGATGAAATATTTACTTCCAAGTGTGGGATTGTTGCCTGCTTCTATCAAGTGCCAGTGATGTAGAGAAGTGAGATACATCACTACATTTATTTTAGCAAGTAGGCTGCCTGTGACCCAGATACATGTGCCATCTCAATTGTAAGAGTTACTTATTTTCTTTGAGGTAAGAGAGTGAAGGCATGGAGGAAATGTATACCCTAACTTTCTCAGAAGAAGCTTCTAAGTTAGGACCAAGACCAAAATGCTAGTGGATTTTTTTCAGCTTTTATCAGGCAGAGATTTTTAAGAATTTACTTGTTTATTAAGAAAAATATTGAATACTTTGATATATGTTTTAAAGAAAAATATAGTATATCAAAATGAAAAAAAATTTCTATATTTATGCTTTAATCCTGTTTTTCTCCTTAGATGGAAAGTTTTCTATTAGATTTGATATACATTATTCCAGATCTCTGAAAGCATTAAAAACGCATGTATAGTTATATGTTTGTGTGTGCGTGCACACACACTAATATTTTCTTTTATTCAAATGGGATCACAGATATATGTGGTTTTGCTACTTCCAGTTTACTTTTATTGTTAAACTCGTCTGAAAAGTGTTTTCTGAGCATGAAATTGGAGCCAGCAATGATAATGGAAAGTATGTTTATAAATGAACAGTCACAAAAAGGGTAAACTTCATCTGTCAGAATATTACTTACAAAATTAAGAGCAAATAACAAAAAGATAAAACAATTTCTGGACTATATCATTGCTTAAAACATTGTTAGAAGGAAGTTAACCTCTAAGGAAATTCAGGACGAGCATTCCTTATTCAAAAATATGACGTTCAAAATATTTGTACCAAATACAAAACTTTGTGAGCACCAGTGATGGATTTTGGATCCTATAGAATCTTAAATTTTTGATTTGGGATACTTTACCTTTGAAGTCTATATTCCAAAGTCTGAAAAAAAATAATTTCTGTTCTAAGGCATACTCGATTTGTATACATGTTCAAAACTATATTAGGAAATACTCAGGTTCATTAAGAATCAGTTGCAATTGCGACAGTAATGGAATACATTTGACACTATAGAAGAAAATGTGTGTCTCTATATATGTGTTTAAGAACTTGAGAATTAGGTGGAGAGATGGAGAGGAATGGGGATGATCAGTCAGAACAGAGTATATAAGAAAATGCTATAATGAAACTGTTACTTTGTATGCTGATTTAACAAATAATTTTTAAATAGAACTTCAAATTTTTCCATATTTTCTAGTCTTTTATCCTAAGAAGATAATAAGTTTTAAAGATTCTGCTGTGCCTCTGTTAATAAATGCAGAAAATGTAGTATAGTAGCAGTCTAAGAATTTAAAGTAGATTTGACTAAAAAAATAGGTCACACTAGTAAAATGGAAATTAATGCAGTTGAATATAATCTAGAAAACAATATCAGAAAGTTTTATGACGAATCGTTGTGTGAAAATAAAGGAGGCTAAATATTATGTAAAGTGAGATCCAATTTTTAATTTTATTTACTTAATTTAATTTATTCATTTATTATAGTGCTGGGGTTTGAATTTGTGTTCTCACACATGCTAGGAAAGCTCTCTACCACTGAGCTACAGTCTCAGCCTATTCTCTCTTTTTTTAAAGATTTATTTATTTATTTATTTATTTATTTATTTATTTATTTATTTATTTATTTATTTTTGAGATAGAGACTTCCTATAGCCCCAGCTGCCTGGAACTCACTATGTAGACTAGGCTGGCTTTGATCTCACAGAGATCTGCCTGCCTCTGCCTCTGGCGCCCAAGTGCCGTCATTAAAGACCTATGCCACCACACCCAGTGAATTTTTAAAAATTATGTTTGTGCCGGGCGTGGTGGCGCATGCCTCTGGAGACAGAGCCAGGCGGATCTCTGTGAGTTCAAGGCCAGCCTGGTCTACATAGTGAGTTCCAGGACAGCTGGGGCTACAGGGAGACCCTGTCTCAAAAAGACAAAAAATTATGTTTGTTTGTGTCTGTCTGTGGGTATGTGCACATGAGTAAGTTGCCCACAGACACCCCCCTGGAGCTCAAGTTACAGGTGCTTGTGAGCTGCCCAACAGGAGTGCTGGGAACCAAACTTGCATCCTCTGCAAGAGCAGTATGCACTCTTAACCACTCAGCCTACTCTTACATGTACAAAAAATAAGTAAAAAGAAATTAGTATACAGAGAAGACCAGAAGGAATGTTATCAAAATATTAACAATGATTATCCATGGGTGGTGGATTTATTCGTGATTTCTGCTTTATTTCTGTGAAATTGGATTTTCTAATGACTTGAATGAGTTTTACAGTTATCACTACAGTATTTTTAGAATATAATTTTAAAGTAGTGTTTTGAAAATTGAAAACATTTATTACCATATAGTAATTTTCATTCATTTACTTAATGTTTTGTCATATGTTTTAGATTTTAAATAACTTTATAGAAAAATATTTTAAAAAGTTATTAACTGGGCTGGAGATGTAGCTCAATAGTATAGTGCTTATTTAGCATGCGTGAGGCCCTGATTTTGATTCCCAGTGCCACACACACAAAAGTTAACTTTTATATAATGCAAACTTAGTGTCTTACTATGTAAAACTTTGTTTCCTTTATGTTGATAAAGATAACTCTGGAAATCATTGAACATGTCTGAAATCTTACTCCAAATATTTTCCTATGTAAAATTAGAGTTAAGGGTTTTACTTTGACTGAACATCTGTGCTCTGTAACGTTAATAAGTCTTTCCAAAGTTTTCTTCAATTGTACTTTTCTGTAGGAGTTACATAAGATCACCATACAGTTGGAGCAGCTCAGTACAAAGTTACAAGAAAAACAAGAGCATTGCAGTCAGCTGGAAAGTCATCTTAAAGAGTACAAAGAGAAACATCTCTCTCTAGAACAAAAAACTGAAGAGTTAGAAGGCCAAATTAAGGTTTGTATATTTAAAAAGGTGATTTTCCCTAAGTTTTTATTCAACACTGTTATTTAGAATCCAGTGACCTTAACAGAATCAAAAATTTTAATTAACAGAGAAAGGTGGTTGTATAAAATTTCAAAAATTACTTTACTCTTTCATGACTTAATTTTTAATTCCAATTTTATTTTTAATTCCTTCATTTGTGGGTGGATTTTATAAATGGCAGTATATATTCTGATTTCATTTTAAAACGTTAAGTATTTCTAAGAGACCACCAAACATGGGTCTGCTGTATGAGTTTGTTGTTATAAAATCTCTCGCCTCTCCTCTGATTTTTCCATCTCTTTTTTAAAAATTATTTATTTAATAACCACATACTTAGAAGAAGCATTTCATTACAACAGCATTGACATATTCAATAACGTTTTCCTGAGGTAGGATGCATCTCTTTCAAAATTGGCTGTAAGTTTTTAGGTATACAGTTGAATTATTACAGTTATACAATATTGTACTCAGTATAAACCCTATATGACATAAAATTAAATGAGGTTTTAACCTTTAAAAAAGATCTCCATTTCATTTTAGAATATATTGTTCCTTGCAGAAAGACTCATTGTTTTTGCTACTAACACTGAGATGTTGGTGCATGCATCTCTAATCTGGATGTATCTGATTATTACTAGTCAGAATCTGTTGCACTTGGATCCTTGGAGCCTCTGTATGTCTATAAAGTCATCGGGTAGATTTCAGTGGTAATGTTTATCACCTCTACTAATTAGCATGATGCAAATTTCCATGCTTCCTCCTCAAATATAATACATTTTTAAAAATTCGTTGATTTTTTTGTGTGTATGTGTGTGTGTGTATATATATATATATATGACACAGAACATCCCAAACCATCTTATTCAACTATAGACCCACTTCCCAGATGGCACCTTCCCATAGCCTCCCTCCCCCCAACTAGAGCCCTCATACTCTGACGTCCCTGTACCTGTCTGCTGTGTTGTCAGCACCCCCAGCCATTCCCCACTACTTGCCCTTCTATTGAATCTAGTCAGCCTATCTAGAGGTCTTTGTTTTAGGAGGGTCAGCTGTTCCTCATCTAGCAGCAATCAGTTGTCAATATTCTTTTAGATAAGATTGGGGTTTGCTGTTCATTTTCCAAATTCTATGCTAGGTTACTTACTATCTGGGAGTCCCTTTGGCCACCCTGGCCAACAACTCAACGTTTCTCCTATCTGGCATTGTTGCTTGTTATGTAGCCTTTAGCTATGCATA